GAGGGCAGGGGAAGGGGAAAAAAATAAGAACCAAGATACTCATGTAAAGGTACAAGATCCCAATGATGAATGTAACTATATTTTATACCTAAAATGTACCAATAAACTTAAAGGAAAAAAAAAAAAAGACTCACTTCAACCATGCCAAGAGTCTTGACCCAGAGAAACCATCAAATAATAAACACATGTTGTTTTAAGCCACTAAATTTTGCAGTACATTGTTACACTGGAATAGATAATTCACATAGCTATTTTTACATTTCAATATTTGAGTTTACTGTTAATGAAGATACCATATGACCCACAAAGAATAACATACAATTGGCCCCCACTATCCATTGGTTCCAGGAGCCGCTGCAAATCCCAAAATCTTCTGGTGCCCAAATCCCTTATATAAAATGCCACTATATTGGCATAAATCCTACACACATTCTCTATGTACTTTAAGATGTACTTTAAGTCATCTCATATAATGTAAAAATGTATGTTAATAGTTGCTTCACTGCACTCTTTAGGGAATGAAAAGGGTATATATGTTCCATACAGATACAATTTTTAAAGACTATTTTCCATCCACAGTTGGTTGAATCCAAGAATGTGGAGCCCACAGATGAGGGGAGGTGGCTGTATTCACTACCTGGCTCCTTACAGAAATGTAGGGAGGAGGAAGCAAGGAGCTGCAGGTATAGTCTTATCTTAGCAACCTTCCTCATCACTGGGACAAAATATCCAACACCTAAACTTAAAGGTGCAGTTTAGTTTGGCTCATAGTTCAGAAGTTTCAGTGCATGTTCAGCAGGCTTACACACAGAAACAGCAAGGCAAAAGCGTCTGGGTGGAGGAAAGCTACAACCAGGAAGAGAGGGAAGTGAAGAGCCAGAAGGGAGAGATACCCTTCCAGACCTCTGCCTAGTAGCTGCCTCTTTTGACCAGGCCCTACCTAGCAACAGCACACTCAACTGCAGAACTCACCCCTAACTCAGCCCTAAAAGATGGAGCCTCCGTGACCCAATCCCTTTTCAAAAGTCCTACCTTTAAACCAAGTAGGTCTTGGGGCAGATTCTAGATCTAAATCTTATTTTCCCAGGATCCAGAGAAGAACTGGCAATGTGAGCCCTGTAATGTCTAGTACACTGGAAAGTAGTCTTTATTGATATCTGCTGTGTCAATGTCCATGAGGCACATTTTAAACTCAAATGGATGTCTTAGTGCCACTTCAGGAGCCAGGAGGGCTAGCGGTAGACATGCTGCCCCACCACCCACAGGCTAACCCCTGTTTCCAGAGGGTGCTGGAGTGAGGGCCCAATGACTGTGATCATCTGCGAGGCCTGGGAATTACCCCCTGTAAACTTTCCCAAGAATGTCTTTCAAATTTAATTTATTTAGGCCAGGAGTGGGCTCCTACCCCTGGAATTGTAGCACTCCAGAGGGTGAGGCAGGAAGATCGCTGCGAGTTCTAGACCAGTCTGGGCTACATAGTAAGTTCAAAGTCAGCCTGAACTACATATTGAGATTCTGTCTCAACAAAACAAAACAAAATAAAACAAATTAATAATTTAATTTACTTATTTAGCCTACTTTTTCATAGAATAAATGTTCCTCAAAGCAAAAGAGAAGTTAGCCTTTAACTACACCAAATTTGTCATTTTTAGAAGAATAAAATGAAGCTTAGAGTGCTTAAAAGATTATCTGAAGATCAAAAAGCCAAAAGGAGGAGACAAAACCAGACAGCAGTCTCCCTAGTTCCCAGTACAGGGCTCCCCTGGCACATAATCACAAAATCTGATTCCGTTAATATGAATTACTATGGTTTCACTGCATTAAGAATCATCTCATCTGTCTCTGTGTTGAACAATTTATATCAAGAAAATGAATTCATTATTAAATGTCCATTTTCTACTGAGGACATTAAAGAATAAGTCACCACTGCCCTCTACTGGATGACTTGCATTTACTACTCAATAGATCAAAAATGATTTAAGTGGAATGAAGTTATTTATTTATTTACTTCATTAATGGGTGCTTGAAAATGAGAACATCCAAGCCAATATCCCATGCCTATTAACCTGATTGGATAGACTGTTTCTCCTCCAAAAGACTCCATGATTTTCTATCTTTGAAAATTAAAGAATTTAAAAAAGCAAATGCCAATTTGTTAACTAAGAAGAAAGAGACAGACTCAAACAGAAATAGATTGAGATAGTGAAAAGAAACTGAGAAAGATTGAACAAGGGTGGATTCTCATCACAATAAACTCATGTTTTTCTACTTTGGCAACCTCAAAAATAAACCTAAGTAAAGCTTCCTCTGTGACATCGCCAGCTGCAGTTTTTCTGAATTGTGTGCTGACATTAGCTTGTGGGATATGGGTTATATCTTCTGGAGACAAAATTTAAGCTAGGAGCTTGTTTGACTGCAATGATTAGTTCTCTGGCTCCAAAAATGTTATGCTTCTATCAAAGCAGATTTAATTAGGTTGGTTGTGAGTTAGCAAACCATTACACCTAACAGTAATAGCACTGAGTCTCAGAAATATGGCTCAAATTTTATGTATAAAGTATATAAATAAAGAGTAATAAAATGATATTGCTATGGTAAAGCTTTTACATGAGAATACAAGAGAAAAAAGAAAGACTAGCTAGTATAAGCTAAATGATGAGCCATTAATTACTTTGACAGGGACACCTAGATACAGTTAATAAGACCAATGGAAATGCAGGGTGACACAGCAAGTCTGGGTTAATACTCCCAAACATACTCTCCTGTCTCACACTCTTTCAACTCACCTAGAAGCAGCCTCAGATTCTGGAGAGGCTGAGGGCTGTAACATCGGCAGACCTGAATTCAAATTTCAGCTCTAGCACAGTGTGGTCTTCAGAAAAGTCTTGCTTTCCTTGTCTGTAAGGTGGAAATAATAGTGTGTGACCTGTACATTTGGAGACCATTAATGAAATAGAGCATGTTAATCACTTAATACAGTATGGAGTTATATTAGGGTTCTCAATCAAAACATCTTTTCCCTATTCTCTTCCCTCCCACCTCCTACATTCATTTGGGCAGTAGACAACTCCAGGTGATGCACACATCCCATCATTTCCAAGCAACATGTCTAGAACTCTCTCCCTCTACATCTTCTTTTCCAGTTATTGGCCCCACACAGTAACTGTAATGCATGCCAAAAACCACAGCATCACCCTGGATTCCATTTTCCTGCTCACCTCCAAATATGCTTGTAAAACTCCTACAGTGCTTGGAAAACTTAGCTCAAGTGCCACCCTTTGTGCTCAGATCCTAGATGTCTCTGCTCCTCTTAGACTGAGTCGTTCTTCTGCTACCATGTTCTCAAAACAATCCCTATACACATCTACTGGTCATGTTATTGCAACATGTTACATCATGTTATTGTGACATCACTCTGTGCTATACTTCTGAGAGCAGATAGTATCTTATTTAAAATTTTACCCATAAATTGCAGCAGCAGACCAGCCACATAAAAATGCTGAAGGCACTTGTAGAATAAATTAATAAAGGGATGAATCAATAGACAGATGGGTGGATGGATAGGTGGATGGATATATGTTAAAGATTCTGAAATATTTATCTTACTCCCTTTCTTTACAGATTCTGGACCAATTGTGCAATAGACTAAGTAGTCTAATGGAGAATGTCACATGGAGCTGCAGCCAGGATCAGGCTGCCTATTCCTTCTCTCAGGATTAATTTTCTACACAAGAGAAATAGGTAAGATTTTATGAGCAGTCACCATCACCTTGAGGAGGCCTCTTCACTCTCACACTTATGAAGTATAGCATGGGTACAATCAGAAGCTTATCCTTGGGGCTTACCTGAGGTATGTGTACCCACAGGAACTGGGGTAAGAAAAATGCATGCTCTTTGCATCCATGGTACTTCAGAAACTAAGCATGCCTACGTCAGCAAAGTTGTCCCCTGCAGGAGTTCCAGAAGAGGGGCAGGTGGGGACTGAAATCCAGCATCACATAAAGATATCATCTGCCCATCAAGCTGTGTGGTCAGAGGGCTGTGGTAACCTGAAGGGAAACTTTTGTCTCATTTGTGCAAAAAGGTCCGTGGAAACTCACAGGGCTCCACTAACTATGCTTTCCTCAAATCTCACCACAAGCAAATGAATCTCTCCTGCTCCCTTTGAATGTCCACAGAATTCTAAGATGTATAGCAGTGTCTCTGTCTTTAGCTAGATGTCTGTAGCAATATCCCACCACTACCAGTCCTGATAACCAAAAATGTCTCCAGAAATTGCCAAATGTTTCCTGGGAACCAAAGTTGTTTATGTTGAGACTTTAAAGTGAACCACTATTTATATCTTCTGTGGCTCTCAGAGACTTAAAAGCTAGGCTTCAACATGTAACACAATAGTTTGTGAAAACACAATTTAATGCCCAGAAAGAGCCTGTAATCCCAGCACCCTGAGATGCTGAGGCAGGGAGATTGCAAGCCCAGCAATCAATGTGAAAGCCCTGGATTTAATACCAGTAACACACACACACACACACACACACACACACACATACACGCACACACACAAATACGCGCACCAGAAAGATTTAACACCTTTTCTTACATAAAAGATGTTTGAAAATTGCTTTTTAATCTCAAGTAAAATGTACTGTTCCCTAGAACAGCCTAAGATACTTTAGGTGAAATATGATACTGCTATTTTCGGGTGGGGATTTGGTACCACAATGGGCTTTTGCTTTAGCCATAAACATGTGTGGACATAATGAAGCGATTATCCAGTTGGAAATAGTAAATAACTCTTATTCCTTTCCAAGAGAACACTACTTTCACAACACAGGCCAGGAAATTTTCCATGATTCTAAGTTTTAGGTTCCACAAAACACTCTGAGGTTCTTCCTTGATTCTCCTATCCCACTATTCTGTTTTCCAGTGACCAAGAGTGAGGTTTCTTACATAGACCATCAAGTTAATGTCCAATTGCTCCCTGGGAAAATTCAACCTCTTTTTTTCTTCAAAATTGAAAATTTTTATCTGATTAACATCAAAATCTCTAATTCAAAGTTAAATACAATGATAGTGTTCCAGAACTCTGGAAGAATTTCTATACTCTGTCTTTCAAACCCTGTATAGACACTATTATAAATCCAACTGGATTCTTAGAGCTAGCTTGTTACCACTAAAGTGACCTCTCTCCTCATCCCCATTTCCTAAGATCAAAGCTTTCAAAAAGAGCTGGAAACATCTATCTTGTAGACCCACAGAGTAGAGGGGTTGACAGCTGTGATTCTGCTGCCCTGTGACGTGGATGCAGAATTCCAGAACTGCCCTGACTACCCCACACTCCTGGAAGCCCCACCTCAACCTCTGTGTGCCTCTTTCCTCATCTCTCCAGTGGAGATCACAGAAGTGCCTGCTGCTACAGGTTATTATGAGAAAGAAGTGAGGTAATGCATGTAAACTTAATAATTAATATTTGTGTAATGGTGTCTAACCACAGCGAGTGCTAAAAGATCATTTGTGAAACAAAATCATAAAATAAGTAGAGCAATGCAAGATCTTGGTCCTATTATCACCATTATGCAATTCCTTCAGGAAAAAACTAGCAAACGGACTTTTTGTCTTTGCTGTCCTTGATTCCTCATGTCAGTCTATTCCTTTTCCTGCGTCCATCTCGAGTCTTCTTTCCAGCTTCCTTCCAATGTGCTAGAAGACAACAGCTGGTGATGCGCAATGTGCCAGACTAAGCTTCCTTCTCTGAGCAGGTTTTGAATGTCCCCTGGAGCCTCTGAAAGGCTGAAAAGTCACCAGATCTTACAGAAAGCAATCTCTGGCCCTGCCCCTTCGGTGAGGAGTTGTGACCGCAGGAGAAGGGACCCTCCTGCACCTGTCTCCACTTTCCTGAAGCTGGCCCTGGAGAGAACGGTGATATGAATTCATAACTTAAGGCTTAAAAAATAAGTTTAAAAGGGGGAAATTGGAGGAGTGGGGGAAAAGAAAGAAGGGAATGGAATTAATTTGAGAAAAAGAAAAAATGGAAACAAAGTCTTTGTAGATAGGGAAGGGTGGAGGGGTTGAAGCGAGGTCAGGGGAATGGGGAAAAAATAAGAATCAAGAGCGATTATATAAAGGTGCCAATTTCCAGTGATGAATGTTATTATATTGTACACCTAAAATGTACCAATAAAATTAGTTTAAAAATAAATTTAAAAACTCAGCAACCTAGAATGTCTGTATGTTAACATATGGCAGTTGTGGCACTATCTTGAAATGAGTCATCTTTGGACTAAGTTAGAAGCACACATAATTTCCAGATGTTAAATATATATATATATATATATATATATATATATATATATATATATATACACACACACATACTCCTAAACAGAAAAGCAAGCAGTATAGAGGAGGTTCTTAACTGCTTATTTTACTAGCTGGTAATGTTTACTCATTTCTGATTTTCCTAAGATTATCCCCTTGTTAGCTGTGGCCTAAATGCATTTCAATTGCCTTTGAATATCTCAAGCGATTCTTAGCACCATGGAAACAGAACCAACGATATGCAAGAAGATTCTGCTGGGCATAATTTGGTTCTCTGGATACTTTTGATTGGTTACTGCCTGCTCTGCTACCCCCTCTCTGAAATGGAATCCTGTTGCTTGGGTTTATTTTTATTATCCAGAGTAGCACACTATTCACCAATATTGGAAAGTGCCATTCATCCATCCAAGTCTTTCTGGACACCTGGGCAGCACTGAGAAAGGAGAATCCTTAAATGTCAGAAAGCACAGACAAATGCTCCGAAAAGATCAAGGCATCTACTCCATGGACCATGAAGCAACTTGCACCTTTTAAAATGCTGTTGATGCAGGAGAAAAGACACCCCAAAAGGAAGCTGTCTGATGTCCTGGCTCTTGAGAATGTAAGTGGGGAGTTGTACAATCCTGAATAAAGGACATGCAAAGTAGAAACAGTGAAGGACCAAAGCTGAGAAATATCCCTTTTCTGATTTTCTTCTTAAACTTATTATAACCTTGATAAAATTACTTTGCTGCATTTTTATCCGCAAATGTCCATTTTCAGAGTAAAGAATTAGGGCCTGGGATCAATTTAAGGTCAATGTTTCTTAAAAAAGAATCAATGTTTATGAACTAATGAATCCTTTGAATGAACGGTTAGACCTAAGGAACATCATTAGACAGCATTTCCTGTATTTGTTTCATCATCTATGATAAAGACAAAAGGAAAATGTCAAGGTCAAATCCGTCTTTCTTGTTTAAAAAAGACCATCTGAGCCTCTTGAGCCATCTTTGGCATCAGTCTCAGCCATGTAAAAGCATAATGTTCCCCTGCACCCTAAACAACTAGGTTCAGGAAGTATCCACGTGAGCATTTTTATGATTTTTGGATTCATCTCTTCTTGTGTTTTTGGAGTTATTTGAAATTGTCCAGGCATATGTCAATGCACAAGAACAGAGACCAGCTGCTTCTTGGACCAAGTAACAGCATGGCAATAAAAAGACTTAAGGGCCAGAGCTGGACAAGCTGCGCCTACCTGACCTTCACTCAACACAAGAATGATTGTGACATTTAGATGCTGAAAGATTAAAACATTGAAAACATTGACAGAAAAGTTCCTGTACAACCATAAGAAATACATTAGTAAATACATTCACAGGCATTGCTAATTTTAAAAACTTACAAGGAAGGTAGTCTGACAGTTTATGTCAATGGATATAAAAATAGTAGATAGAAAATTGCAGGGGAATGTAATAACCAGAAAAATGAGAAAAACTATTCTATAACTTATTAGCAAAGCAATTAAGTTATTTAATTCTGTGAGAATAGTGAAAGATGAGGCAGATGCATATCATGTTTGTGACCACCAGGATCTTTTTAACAACCTTCTTATATGTGGAGAAGTTCTGAAGTGATAAGTCCTATTTCTGAAGGGAAAATATAGAACTCATCTTCCCAACTCCTTGGCAACAGAGATGTAACATGAATCTAGCACTGTTGGTCCAAATCAAGACTTTGCTACAGATGAGGGAAATAAGAGGATGCAGATGCTGCACAGTATTTATTTTCTTTCCTTCTTTTGATGTTGTTTTGTTGGTTTTAGTTTGGGGTGATGGGGATTAAACCCATAGCCTTGGGCCTGCTAGGCAAGCACCCTGCACTAAACTGTGTCTTCAGTCCTCAGATTTCACTTTCAGATGCAATGACAGCAGAGGTTTCCAGCTTTGTAGACACAGAGTGTTTGGCACCAGCTGATATCCATAATCAGGCAATGGGCCGTGGTGTCTTCTGATAGCAACATACTCTTCTCT